GCCATTGAAGGTCTGAAAGCTAAGAGCGAGTTGAGTCCGAAGATATTTATGGAGTTTCTCGGAATGATTTATAAGCGACAAAAATAAGCATGCTAAAATTTTTATATAAGTATAATAATTTTTAATGCCGAAAATGTGTATTTTTATGTTTACTAGTACATGATATTTTTGTACCATATTAAAATTAGATATTAAATTAAATATTAAAATTTTAGCAATGTGTCAAAATAAAATAAATAACACTTTTAAAATATTTTATTGTATACGTGTGATGATGTAGTTTGCAAAATAATATTGTCATAATAACTACAGTATATTATTTTAAAATAAATGCAAAGTATTGTACATATTAATACAGTACTAATTAATATAAAATTAATTATTTTAAAACTTTAAAATTCTGGTTTTATATATCTGATGTATCTTGTATATTTTAAACAAATATTAGGTGTCTATATACTTACTTACTCTCACATAAATCTTACGTTTAAAATAAGTCTTAATTATAACAGTCACTAAAATAATCATTAAAACGAAAATAAAAGCCACGAAAACAATGGCCATTATATTGTAGGAACAGTACTTCGGTGTCAGACACCTCCACCACTTCCATAGTTGTCTCACATCGGCACCGGTAGGGCATCCATGATATACCATAACATCGTTTAGTTTACATACATCTATATTACAATCGTAGCCAATAATAATATCCGGGTCATCATGAACCGGGACATTTGCCTTACGGGCTATAACTCCCGTCACGTATACGTCCTCCAACTTAAGTACAGTTTGATTATCAATGGCTGTCCGGTATAGCCCGTCCACGCTATCCATTGTAATGACATAAAATGGACCTGGTGCTATGGGAAAGTGATCATCGCTAGGGTATACATCATATGGGATGTAGAAGGGACTGGTAGTATCACGAACTATAGACATGACTCGTTTCTCGCCCGTAATACCCGACTTAAACGCATTTTTCCGTATTTTATCCGTCAGTCTCCCGGTGTTGACAATGAGGTCGTCGTCGGCTTTCACGACATATTTAGCGGACAAACAGTTTTTTGAGACCCAATGCAGTATTGATAGGGTTTTTAGCGTTAGATTGTAGTAATGGTCGACGAAAGCAAACTGAAGGATATCGTCGTATATATGGGATTCAGCGGTGATCTGCTTCTGGATCTCTTGGCTTTCAATGGACTCAGGGTTTCGATGGTAGGCCAACACGAATGTGACGCTTATGTCAGCTATAAATATACAAATAATTGCTTGAATTCTGCTTTTATATGATTATTTAGTAGGGCTTAACACTAGGAACAGTCTCTTTAAAGTAGATTTTTACTGTATATGCTATTAAACAGCATGAGGTATATTAAACAAAACCCTTATTTCAGCTTTCATGTATTATACATATGAAAGCAGAGTTTAAATGTGTTTTTTGTTAAATCTGTTATGTATGTATAGCATACAAACTTATATAATATATTACATTGAACTTTATTTTCATATGAATTTATTACTAACTAATGATATATTAATAAAAGTTAATAATAGTCGTGTGAAAGCAGAGCTTAATTATACTTTTGATTACTGGATGTACAATGTACATACTGTATAACTTACCAGAATAATCTTTGATTATCTCTGACACCCAGGTGTCTCTGGTAGCGGTCCTCCTGTCGTAGTATTTGCCGGAAGTCTTGGCCGCCGACAATACAAACACTTGCGTCCGATTGGGTCGACATCTACCGGTCGGTTGTATCAGTGGCTCGGCTTTTGTCAGCAATAACTCGGGCATTGAGTGCACATATTTGGACACATTTTGTGCGCCAATCACTTCATGAGAGTTTGAGATTATAGTCACAAAAATAATGCAAACTTTTAGTGAAATATGAGAAATATATTTCATTACTGTCTATACTTTAAGGAAATTAAAACTTATTTAAACTCTGTTTTTATAATAGTTGTAATAGTATTATATATATAGCAGCGTAGCACAAATAATGATCCCTTAACCCAGGTACTCATATTTATTCAATTTGTAAATTTTTAGATCAAAATTTAAGGAAGCAACATTAAAAATGAAACAGTATTATACAATTAAATATTTAAAAGTGATATTCTCATGATATAAAGATAACAACATTTGATAATTAACAATAAAAAAAATAACATTAAAAATATTAATAACAATAATTTATTAACAGTAAATTCATGCATACTAGTATTATAGTAAAAATATTTATAACGAATAAAAATCAATAAAATTGTTTACGGCTATTATAAAAATCTAATTAAATTCACATTAGTATTCACTCTAAATATGCATTTTTGATAACAAAACATTTTT